AGAGCAGGCTGAGGCACGCTGAGCTGTTGGTGAACGGGCATCTGTGTGCCACCACCAGCAGGCTCTATCCTCAGTGATGCTTTAAAACACCCCAGTCGCTCACCCCGCTATTCCCAATCCTTTCCCTTCCAACGGGGAAAAGACTGAAACAGGACCCCCCCGCTGGTGCTGTGCCCTGGGGCTGGCACATCCCTGGGCTGCTGCCGGTGCGGACGCAGCCCCGCTGCCCCCCTTCAGCCCCCCAGAGCAGAGCAGAGCTTTCCTGCAGGGCTACAGCCCCACGCTCCCCTTGGGCACTGCCTGCGCCAGGGTCCGGGTGACTCCACAACCATCCAGCCCTCCCCAGACCTCACAGGGAAGTGGCTGGGAGCAGCTGACGTGATAAAATCTTACCTTAAAAGCTGCTTTATAATTCCTCCCGCCGTTGCTTCATGCATAATTGCACCTTCTGGCTTTTTTTCTGAGTACAGGCGAGCGGTCGGCAGAGCTTGCTGCCTGCCCTCCTTCCCACGGGCGGCTGTCCCAGCTCACAGCTATTGCACACTTTTCTTTATGAGCTTCATCTATTTCAAAAGTGCCCTCTTAGCGTCCTCAGCCCCCGTGGCCTGAGATTTCTCTTTTGTTTTGCTTCCTGTATGGATTTTCTACAGTCCCTAACTGCTAATTCACTACCACCGACTTCTGCTTTTTCTGTTTGTTTAAGCAGAGCTGCGCAGATGCCCTTGTACACGCACACACACGCCGCCGCTTCCCTTCCGCTCTGCCTCGCGTTCAGCTTTTAACCATTGCTGCCTTCTTCTCCTGTAAAAGCCTTAACCGGCTTCCAACTGGCCTTCCCACTTCTCTCTTTAACTCCCACCCTCTGGCCCGCTTCGTTTTCACAATGAGTGGGGTGGTTTGGAAGTGGTGCGTCGGCATTTCCTGGGGTGGGATGTGATCGGCTGCGGGTGTCCTCTGCCATCCCACAGTGAGATGAGGGTCCCCCCCTTTTCTGCCCAGAGAGGGTCTGGGGGTGACATTTGGAAATGTTTGGCTATGGGGGTCTGCGCTGAGCTGGCAATGCCCCCCCCCCAAAATCTCAGCCGGGCTTTTATGCACCCCTTCAGAGGGCAGGGCGGGCGATGGGCAGGGCGGGGATGCGCAGGGTGGTGGCGGGCAGGGTGGTGGTGGGCAGGGGGGGGAC